GGGTTGGCTGTCTATCAAGTTGAATTACTCCAGTGGTTTATTGTTGCTCGCCGTGCAGCCGGGTGTGAAATTTTAATTAATGCAACTGCAGCATTCTAGTTCAACCAACAAACAGCGAACGAATTCCATTTCGCCTGCCAATTGAATTTCGCTGTCAAATTGATGAACTTTCCCAAACAATTGGCAGTTGCGAGTCCTCAGCACAGCTTGTAGTTTTTGGCCATTGTTTTTGCTACAATATTTACGTTTAATCAAATGGAAAATCCACTGCGATAACTGGAAGCTGTAATAACAATCCAGTGAGCCTTGCGCCACAGCTCGTAAACATAATCGCAGTTGAGGGCTTTCAGCTCGTTTGATCGGGGAATCTATTTATTTTGTGGTTTGCAGTTCTGCGGCTTCGTCATATGTGCACACAGATATGTAAGTTTATACATCATTTTAATTAAAAGCGGTAAAAAACACATATGCTGCAGCGAGAGCACATAATGCAGAGAAGATAAAAATGCAATGTGCCGCAATACCGCAATTTGTTTAACATTCCAGGCAAACGCGAACTGCATAAACAATTAAACCGATTGAGTCGAAAATGGCGCGTAAAAAATGCACTGCGAAAACCGCAGGATAAAAACACACATTATATTGTAATCTAACATTTCGATCATTGCCGCCAAAGACCGCCTGATATGTTTACTCATATTTAATTGGTTTAGTGCCTGGCGGTATCGATTTCCGGCGCGTTCCGGGCATAGTGCCACAAATCATCAGAATTCATAAATAATAAAGCCTTTTAAATGATTTAAAAAGCGTTTTGCATATTTCATGCCTGTTCTCGGGTCCTCTGGCTGCCAATTAAATGCTAAATGGATTAAAATAGCAAAATGCTGCGATAAACTCAATCAGGAATTCTGATTTATGCCTGCCAAATGGGCTTGCTCGACCCAAGTGAAAGCAACCCCCCTCATTTATCAATCAACCAACACTATCGAACAAACAATTCGGAATCTCACAGTTGAGAAATTATGGTTTCCATTAAAACGTTTATTTATTTATTAATTTATGTAGTGGAATTATTCCTTATGGGATACATATTGTTATTTATTAGTTTATGTTGTGGAATTATTAATTATTTGATTAATTTTGAATTACATTTTTAAATTATTAACCCTCTATTAGAATCATTTAATAAAGCCTTCTAACTGCTAAATATTACAATCCGACTATTTTAGGACTCTCTATGAGAACGAAAATCTATTGAGGTGTATGTTACGGAAGGTAGATTGTTCCATCTACAAAAATATATTTAGTTTTATAAGTTTTATAGTTTTTTCCTAACTCATTTTATGTTTAAGGGTGTATAACATATGTATTATTCATGAGCCCCATCTAATCCCGTGATCTTATCAATACAACCAGCCAAAAATCGGGTGGACAGACTCATAATGCGTCAACTAATTGCTCATTAATTCCCAAACATGATTTCCAATTCAATCAGACTCGCCTAATTACAAAACTTAATCCCGTGGAATGGCCGCCCAAACACCTGTTGGAATATCCGCGCTGGAGTCTTCCGCTTCTCGCACTTCTGATTTCCCATTTTCCCCAAGTCGGGGGCACACGCAGGGCCAACAATGTTGTTCCACGACAAACTTGGTCCCGGATTTTCCCATTTAGTTTGTTTTGTTTTCCGATTCCAATTTTTTTGCCGGCTCAGAGGCAAACACATAACGCAGCCTTGCCGGCCCTCTTGTGGGGCTGCCACTCAAAGTTTTGTCGTTATGAGGACGGGTGAAAAAGCGAATGTCCAGTGACAGCTCAGAGGGCGAGAGCAAAAAAGATTGAATGTACCCGAGGTACAGATGATACAGTGGGTATATACGACCTTTGGATACTGTAGGGATCGAGGGAAGGCATCTCGTGGTCAAACATAACCAATTTGTAACCAAAAAAGTCTTTCAAATAAAATATTTTCAAAGTTTCATCACTGTTTTATTTATTTTTGAATTTATGTGTTTTATTTAAGTTTCTTGTCTTTCTTAATGCAATTTTAAAATGAATTTCTGTTACTATTTCTATTTACTATTGAATTCTTTTAATTCTTTAGTAATATTTAGTCATTTCAAAGCTTCTGTTCAAAGATTAGTAAACCATTTTTTTGTTTAGGGTATTTTTAAGTCGAGATCCTTGAGCTAACTTTCTTTGTAATTAGAGCGGCGCAAACGAATCCCGTGAAGAAAGGGTAACGTGGGGTCAGCAAATGCGCATCGCTCAGTTTTTGACACGCACGGCAAATATGTTTGAGTTAAAGGATGGCGGACCCTGTCCAGGGCCGGTTAAAAGCACTTAAGGGAACCTTCATAAAGCCTTTCCGCACAGCTGATAATAGTGGCAAAATTGTGACGTTTAAATAATAAAATCAAGGGCATTAAAAATTCAGATTTTAATGAATTTTGTTTTAGGAATCCCTATGTAATAGGAGGTGGAGTAAGAGCAATAGTCTAAAATTGGATTTAGGTTTTTATGTAAAGCTCATTATAAAAGAATTTGACTTTATAATGAATTACTTCAAAGCAGCGGTCAGCAGCGCCCTATTAAATATAAAACTAAATGTCATTGTAAGTTTGTGCCAACAAAAACCGTCAGCCGAGGGTCAGATTTTTTTTACAGCCCCATAAGTGTGCCGCCCAATTCTCAAAGTCCTTGGAGCCGCTCCTGTTGTGTGCGAACGTGCCCTCGCATGGATCTGTTCTGCCCATCGAATCGGTCCAAATCCCCAGGCCCTCTCCACAGGCCTTTGATGCATTTCGTTTTTTTCTTAAACTGCCCCCCCATTATACAAACCGTCAGTTGATTAATAAAGCACTCGGATTGCTCAGATTGCAATTTTTGTTTATGATTCAAAAGGAACATTTAATTTATTTGCTTTGTTTCTTTTTTTTTGTATGTTTGTTTTCTGTTTTTCGTTTTCGGCTGTCGCTTTTCACAAAAATTGAATTTCTGCTTTCAGTTGTCGTTCTGGTTCTTAGCTTTGTCTTAGTGCCACGCCCACTTCCATCGTTATAATAGCGTTCGGATAGATAGAGAGGTGGGTGGGGTGGTTTTTTGGGGTGTGGGTTCTTAAAGGTGTGAGGGCGTTTCGAGTGTTTGTGTGTCTTAGCAGATATTCCTTCATTCATTTTGTTTTAGACGAAAACGCATAAGTTTCGAGTTTCTGTATACACATACAATCATACGCTAGAGTATATCTAAAAGTAGGATACAGAGATACATCTATATAGAGTTAAAGAGTGAGACATATGTAGAGTGAATGACAATTTGTTTTGCTTTGTGGTTTCTCAGTTTTTGGGTAGTGTGTGAGTGAGTTTGTGTACTGTGTGTGTTTGCTTTAGCCTTTTCCTTCCGGGCTTTCCACGTTTGCTGGTATTGGTTTTGTTTTCCACTTAATAGCCTTTACAGTTAGTTTTCAATTTGACGACAAAATATACGTTTAGTCATAGACATACACTCACGTACACATATATAAACATGAAACACATTCAGTTAGTTATAGTAGTGGCCTGCTCCTTTGATTCAAGAGCTCCGTCTCCTTAGCTTTATAATCTATTTGGAAATTTGTTTGTCTCCACAGGATAATTGTAGGTGTTTGTGTTTGTGTGGGTGAGCTTGTTTCTGTGTGTGCGAGCTGCCTGGCAGCCGTATTCATTTTTTGGGGAATATTTATTAAATGCAGAGAGCTTTGATAGTTTGCAGTTCAGTATTTGCTTTAGTAACGTTTCCATAGTCGAGTGCGAAGCTTAAGAATAAACAATATTGGAGTCAGCTTACGTAGCTAGACGAATAAGCAGCTGCTGGTTCGGAACTATTTTCTATTTCATCCTTAGTTATTTCGGTGCGTGACTGTTTCTTGTATTTTATTTTGGGTATTTCTTTTTTATTTTGCTGATTCATTTGTGTTTGATTATTACAGAGAACATTTAAACTACGTTTAAGTGGTAGCTTTAACTATTTACTAACTAGAAAATATATTGGGATGGCTGAAAATGGCATAAGTCATTGAATAAATCACCTCCCAAATCTCCGCTCATCCCAGTATATTTTCCAAGTGTCTTCTTTTGGGTGTGGGGCTTTTCGGGGCCTAACAACTTTAAGTTGCCGCCTGACTTGGCTAACGGAAATGCAAATTAATACATAACTCTGGGGAAATGGAAACAGAGGCTGAAACAGAAACAGAAACAATTCTTGGCTAATTCAACTAAAAGGCATAAACAAACAACAAGGATGTCTTAAGCTGGGGATTTTGGCTCGGAAACAATCGCACACGCACCTACAAATGCACTGAGCGAAATGCACAGCTGCATACTGCATATTTCATGGCGTGTCCTGTCAGGAGCGGAGATTACTCCCCATGTCCTTTGACATCGAGATAATTGAGCAACGAAAGGATTGCGACAAGGTTCTCCAAAACTGAATTAGAGCGCTATGCGAGCGAGGAGCAAGTTAGGGGTTAAGTATTTAAGGGTGTTAAGGGCGCTCTACGCATGCAAGTTTGTTTGTGTGTTTCTGTGCTGGTGGTAGTGGGTGTGAGGTGTGAATAATGTTTATCGGTTGTTTGCCATCGGTTTAACATTTGCCGCCTTTCCTTTTCACCTGATTCAGATTCTGTTTTGAACTTCTCCCTTATGACATACGCAATAGTAAAAATAATAATCAAGGTAAATAAATATATCGCTTTCGTAACAATCTCGAGGACAACAATCGTGAACAAAAGATTCCGCATCCTGTTGTCGCATCTCTCTCCCCCGTTCGATCCTTCGTCCTTTGCTTACACTACACACATTCAATAAAATATGCACATCAATAATTCACATTCATTTATCATGTAAGGTTTGTGTCCGTGTGTGTCTGTGTGTTTCGCTGCTTGTGAGTGTTTGTTATTCAATTGCTAACTACTTAAATGTCAGTTTTATCTAACGTTTAACCCATGGATCCCAGGCGGGAGCCACTTCGTTAGAAAATTGATAGTTGCTCTATTGCTGGGTGAACCTCGCTTGCTATTTGAATTTTGACGTGCTTCGGTATCAAGGGCAGTTAGCTGGTCTAGAATATCACTCATACGCAGTGTGGTACTAGCTTGCAATTTATTCAGAGTGAGTTGCTAATTGTGTTTATGCAGGCATAAAGGGCAGTGAGTTGGTTCTGAGTTGTACCACTCATACGCAGTGTGGCCTTGTATATTCGATGTTTAAATTAAGTGACAGTGTGGCCATTGCTTTTACCCTTTTTTACATGATGTTGGTCGAGACCTTATTATTATTACAACTTATTAATTGAGGTCCACCCCAGTGTACTGTGTGTGTGTGTGTCGGCGTGTTGCTTACGTATCTGAAGTTAGCTGGCTTTCATTGTAATTGGTTTTGCGCCAAACTCTAACAGGTAAATTCACATTTAATCTCACATTTAAAATGCAAAAGTTTCAATTAATTTATATATTGGGCTTCGCTCCGCTTGACTCCGCTTGGATACCACTTGGATCCCCCGTCAGTCCTTCGTCTCGCTTAGATGTACATGCCCAGATCCGCATGGAAGTCCTGCAGATACGAGAGCAGCTGTGAGGGCGTGGGTCGCTGTTTGGCCTCACTGTGCCAGCAGCAGTTCATAACGGTAAAGCTAGGGGTTGATTTTTTGGGTAGAGAGAGTGGAAATGGTATATATTTTTTAGTTTCAGCAACACTTCTTCGCCTTCTACGGGTGCACAACTTACAATTCATCTGGGCAGTTGACGGGCTGCTCTAACCGGAAGCCAGCAGCCAAGTAATTGGTAAGCTCGAATATGTCCACCTCCTCGTGCGGCATCTGGGCCAGGGTGACCAGCTCCCAGTAGGTCACGCCCAAGGCCCACACATCTCCCTGGGTGGCGTACACCCGTTTCTGGAGCGACTCCAGCGATAGCCACTTCAGCGGACGATTCTCGTTGTCGCCCAAACAGTCGTAATCGTCTGGGAAGAGATCGCGGGACAGGGCGCCATCGCAGATCTTAACATACGACTCTTCGTCAAGGCTGCGATTTAGGTAAGCAGATTAGATTTCAGAGTGATAAACAGCTGAAACGGTCAACTAATACTCACTAGCAATTGCGTGTGGCAATGTCCTTGTGGACGATGCCCAACGAGTGCAGATAGGCCAAACCCTTGGTGATGTGCAGCCCAAACTCAACCAGCTGCCGGGTACTTAATGCCGTGCTGGATTCCCTCGACTTTTGCAAGTACCTGATTAGAGAAAGAAATTTGCAAATTGTTTTAAAAGTGATATAAAAATTATAATATGTCTTAGCCTAACTAATAAAGTTATACATATTTGAATTGTTCGAAAATATAATTTTATATACTCTCGGTGAACATCAACCATCTAATTTTTTGGTTTATTAAAAGCTTTGAAAATTTGTAAGATCTTTTAATTTATAGCTATGGAAAATTTAAGTCTCAGGATTAAGTATCTAGAATGTATCTAAAAATGTAATAATCAAATTAGTTCTAAAAATCATCCCTAATATTTTTAAATGTAAATCCAAAAAAAAAGTATGCTTACTTTTTTGCAGATGCATAAAAAGCAGTTAAAGCCAAAAAAGCTTTTCAAAACATCATTTTTATTAAAACTATTTGAATGGCTTTTTATGTACATCTTACAGTCACTTGCACACCCTCACAATATATCTCATATTCATCTTACTAGTTACTCACATTTTGAGATTGCCCTTGGACGGATAGGGATAGGCGATCTCCGGCGGCCCGGGCAGCTCGGTGTTGGCCAGGAGCGGGGCCAGGATGTGTTGGTGGCTGACGCCGATCAGCAGCGAGGCGTCCTGCAGCAGGCAGGCCACCTGGGTGAGCGAGGCGCCGTCGATGACGGTCTTCACGAGCGCCTCGCAGGACTCGCCCAGCTTGCCGGCGTAGATCCGGCCGAAGGTGCCCTCTCTGACCAGCTCCTCGTAGCTGAGGGCGCCGGGCTGGACGCTGGGAATCCGCCGCAGACGCTGGTTTCCCTTGTCCCCGTGACTGGCCATCGTGATGGTGCTGCCGGTGGGAAGTCCCCCAAACAGACTCAAACTGCCACTGCCGCTGGTGCAATGGCCGTTGCCATTGCTTCGAATGCTCTTGGGTGTCGACAGACTGCAGGCCTGAAAATCAAACGTTGGGAATTAATTAGGTTTAAAGTCGGAACTCTAATATTTCGTATTAATTAGATTTGAATACAAGCTGCTGGCAATAACTGCAAATGTATTCATTTACATGTCATACAAACTGTAATTTAATATTTGCTTTGATTTGGTTGTTGATAACCTGTCGTATTTTATTTCAAACCTGGCCAACCTATAATCATTCTTGCCTAAAACTGCCTAGAAATTAAATTGCACTTTCTCTATTCGCTTTACGTTCACAATTTCAAAAATGTATGTTGATTATAATTAACACACAAAACCAATTAATAATAAATTCGACCATAAATTTATTAACAGGGAATGTGCATGCGGAAAATCGAATTTACATTCAAGGGGTTTCAAGTACGCTTTTAGATGATTTTGAGGCAATATTGCAATCAAGATGGCCACCCTTCAATGCTTCGCAAAGGGGTTTCCGCTCAAGCAAACTGCTCAGTGGCAGGACACTTGAGTGGAGGAAACTGTATAAATTTCCATATTTCCGTACCCCATCTAATTTGGGCCAACTAAGGACCCTTCGCCCGCCGCCCCAAAAAAGGCCAACTGGCGACGACTTTGGCAACAGAAACAGCAATTTCAGCTGCCGGATTTGCATCTTTCAGCTTGCATCCGTTTACCGTTAGTCATGCACTCGGCTGCGCTCCTCCGTTCATCGCTCTCCGTCCTCCGTTCATTCATTTTAATGAATTGAGTTCCGTTTCCGCTCCAAGGCACTCCCACATCTTCGCCATCTTCAGCTATAATTTAGCCCCTCGCTCAGTTGTCTTACAGCATGAATAATTTATTGGCTGGCAAAAAAGCTTTAATTCGCCGAGCATTATGTTTGCACAGCCGCTTTTCTGGGGGGAAGTAGGGGACTTTTCCGTTGCTGGAGCTCAGCTGTAGGAAATTGCGAACTCGTCTTGGGCAAACAAAGTCTGCTGCCAGATAACCAGTACTCCGTTCACCCAACTCAATTCCCCCTCTTGAATTCCAGCCTACGCAGCACATTTATTCCCATAAAACATGAAACAGTTTGCCCAAAAAATAGACAGAAAGAAAGAAACTCGGTCTAATAAACACGAGAGAAATCCGCACAATTCCCTCAGAAATCTGCATAACTGCGGCCGAGTTCAAGTGGATCCATCCAAGTGGCTTTTCCCTGGACACTAAATCTCCATCAGCCAGCAGCAGCAGCAGCAGGTGGATAACGTTTTTATTAAAAACCACCGCTGGCAATATGCGGGAATTATATTATTTGGTGTGGCCTGACAACAGCTCCTGTGAAAGCAGGACAAAAGGACACGACCGCCGGGAGGAAGCCAAACGACACAATTGCAGCACATTCGCAACAGCAGCAGCAGCAGCAACAGCGACAAAAGGCAATAAAAACAATAGTTGGCTGCCTTTTGTTAGTGAATTTCATTTCATTATTGCCTTCATTGCCACTTTCCTGAAGGGGAAGCCCCAACTGCCCGTTTGCGATTCCTGCTGTTTGTCCTTTATTGTATTTGTCGTGCTGCTGCTGTTGGCGGTGCGCTGCTGCTGCTGGCCCACAAAGAAAATTCAATTAAAACGCAACAATATCGCACTCCATCATCAAAGCTGTCCCTTCGGCTGGCCCCTCAAGCCGGGGAGGAGTTAAGGTCCTGTGGCTGCGATTGGTGGGGCGTATCCTGTGCTGAGCCATAAATCCTACAGAATTCGCATGCAAACGGATCCCATTCCCCCATTCAGAGACACAACAACAATTGTCTGCCAGACCTTGAACCTGTCTGCTTACTCTACGGATCCCGTTACATCCTTCGTCCTTTGTTCCTCGGCTTAAATCGCTGGCAGAACATGTGCCTGGTTGCGTTAATGAGCCCCGTTCAAGTGTAATTAGAATTCATTTAATCGGTTTAACATTAAACAGCGGAAGCGCAATTGAAAGGCAGAAGTTTGAGTAGTTATTAATGGTTAATTATTGCACAAAGAGAAATTGTGTGTGAATAGTTAGTTACAGTTTGGAGAACTGTCTTTAAAAGCCTTGATTTTAATATGGTAATGGAAATTAAGTTTATTTGGGGGAGAATCTTATCTAAGTTCTCATGAACAAGCTACATACTTTTATTAAATTCCAAGCCAAAAAATATTTTATTTTTATTATGAGTTTAATTAAACCTACAAATTTAATCCCTTTTAATAAATTTATAGATCAACTTCTAAATACCTAAAATATATTATCTTCAAAAAATTAAAAAGTAGGAGTTGTAAAACACACACTTAACCACAACCACTTTAAAATATTTCAATTTTTGTGCAAAATTATTTGTTACATTTTAAGCTTTATCTGTAGAATGCGTAGTCAGCATCTATCAATCTCTGAATATTTTCAAATACTCAGAAAAAACACTCCAAGTGGCTCTCTAAATAGTTAAATGCCTGAACTCAGTTTCAAATAAAATAATTGTCTACTTCAATGGACTTCTGCTCACTTAACTTTATTGCCTTCAATCGCAGTTGATTGTCATTGAAGTCATACTTGAAATTTTTCCTCTGTGCGAGCAGGCCAATAAATGCGGAAAATATCAGTAAAATTAAAACGAGATTGGGCCAATGTTTATTCCCAATAAACAAGGATGGGGAAAGCGATTTTATAAAGCGCCTCCCCCCGTCAGCTCGAATTGCAAATGGAAATGTTCATTTCAGCTCTCGATATTAAATGCGGATGAGATGTCAAACGAGGAGACATTATTGCTTGGCTTTTCATTTGAAATTCGGAATGGCCAATAAGACCGAAAATAGCTGCCAATTGATGGTGACCCCACCCAATTTTTGATCATGATACGGCTGCTGGTAAATTATTGGCTGGGGGTGGGGAATGTGGGTAGTGAATTTTGAAACTGAAATTTCAGCTGGTCGTCAAGGATACAGGATGGGTGGTTGTCGTTTGAGAGCAGGTTCTGCAGCTGCTGCTGCTGTTTGGTTGTTGTGACATTTCTAATGACAACAAGGGTGTGGGAGAGGGGGTGGGGTTTCCTGGGGGTTGGCCTGCCAGTGACGTAAGCACAAACAACGAAACACATACGACTTGACAGGCGTCTGATTTGCTTATGTCACTTGCAGCTCTACGGCTGCCCGCAGAAACAACAACCGCAACCATCGTCACCGCCCCCTGCCACGCCCCCTTCGGGCCCCCAAAATCTCGCACGGCTTGTAATTAAAAACGCTTGATGACAATTTTGCCAGAACGACGCCCGTCAGCACGTCACTTGCCGGCAAAGCGAAACTGCAGCCCAACTTTTTGGCAACAACAGAGGGAAAAAGAGCACAACATTTTCACACAATTTTCCAACACCGCACAGTGGGGCGGGTGGGTGTAAATATTTTAATGAAGTCTCACCGCTGCAACTTTCGAGTCGGGCAACCTCTAACAAAATTCTGTGGGAAAGTTCTGTTTTGGTACACGACGAGAGAAGCGGAAAAGTGGAGTCTGTTATAAATTAATTAATTTCAACTTAAGAAATATACACTCTTTAAAGATTATTGATATTAATGATTCAGCATAAAATAATAAATGTCACATTAAATTACTTTGCTAATAAAACTTCTTCTGTGTGTATTTACTGTCTAATCTTCGATTATAATTCAGTATAATTATCAGATAATTTTCTTTCTTGTAATGTGAAAAGTAATACTTTTTAGTTAAAATCATATTTTTTGTGTAGACGGCTATACGCTTTTCTTCTGTAAGTCACAAATTTAATTAAGTTTCCTTATTATTTTCTATTTAATAAAAATTATTTCCAACCCACTGTGCCAAAAAATTGTTGACACAAAATGAAACTATGCAAATTGCTGATGCTGTTGCAAATATTCCGCCCTTGCCGCACCAGCAATGAGTTTTACTTTAGCCAGACAATGGCAGCATTTTGAACGCATCACGCATACGACCTGTCGCCTTGTCCTAATAAGCCATGGCAGTGAAGTGGAACCAGATGAAAAGCCGGCTGCCAGGTGGAGCTGACAGAGCGAGCTGCTCGCCGTTGGCTCAATTATATTTCAATTTACCTGACAACAGGTCCTGTGCCATTTCCCCCATTCTGCCATTTTGCAATGTGAAAAAGCCTTTAATCAAAGTGGAAAGCCTCTCCGTCTGACTTTTCCCTTGGACTTTTTTTTGGGCCAACTAACTGAACTCTCATTATTTTGGCATTTCCATGGTCGTTGCTGCCAGGACAAACTGTGTGTGCCTTCTAATTTGCCGGGGCCGACTAATTTGAATTTCGTTTGATTTATGCCTGATCGATTTGGCTATGGTCGACCCCCCTTTGCCGCACTTTGCCTTCCTTTGATGCATGGCATTTTGATGAGTCGACCTCGTTAGGCCCGGCGTTTAATAAGCGTTTTTGGGGCCAGCCAAAAAGGTTCTTTCGGTTAATGCATAATTGAAGAGGGAAGATGTCGGATGGCCTCGGCTTTACGGGCTTCTAATTAAAGGTGGCGCATACTTAACCAAAGTCGCCGCTTACACGCACTTAATCACGCATAATTGCCTTTCAATTAGCCTTTGCGTGTCCGGGCCACGCCCCCAAGGTACTCACCTGTGCGGCTGCCCCCTTCCATTAACCATTTCAACCACCCCCTCGCCACCCACCTTCGATTCAGCATTTAATAATGCGGTTGCACAATTTACATATGTTCCACACGGATTTCCATTGATTTTCTCGGTTTGTTGAGTTTGCAAAATGTGAAATGTAAATGAAATCGCAGCAGTTTTGACCAGTTCGTTGCTCCCCAAGAAAGGCACTTAAGCGACCAGTGGACCGACTGTCAATTAAAGCTACGTACAAGCATTTTAATGGGTAAATCTTGTTCTCTAATTTCGCTTCGAACGATTTCCATGTTGCGTCAACGCAAAAAGTGAACTAAAGTGCAGTGGGTGATGGCCAGCGCCTCGAACGAAAGGGGGCAAATCCCTGGTCCTTGGACCACAAAGGAAAAATCGGAACAAAGGAAACATCCGCCACTTCCGTTTGTCTCTCCTGCGGCTGACAGGAAGCAATCAATATAGTGTAATGCCAGACAAAAGCATCCGCCGCAGTTTGCCGACCGAAGGGGAATCCCCGGCGGATGGCTGAGAGTTGAGCGACTTGAAAAAATATCGACCGCCGGCTGGGTAATTTGTCAACCTTTGGCGACGGCTTTTGTTCGGCGGCTTAACCCCTTGGATTCGTCACCTGGCTGGTCACATACCATGTCGCCTATTAACTGTCTCTTTAAGGGCCCTAACTTTTTTTGTTACCTCCCCCTCCACACAAAGTTTTTTCACCAATGTAAGTAATGCCTTTTAATCAAATGGAACAACAGTGGTAAATCCATTAACGGAGGACGTGTCGCAGACTTCAACTAGGGGAGTAGTACTCCCCAGTCCCAGAGATAGCTCCCCTCTAGTATATTCTAGCACCACCCCCATGGAGCTTTCTCCCCTGCTGAGCAGGTTGATTTACAAATTTCTTTAATGGGGCGCCAACAACATTTTTAATTAGCACCTGTTCCTGCTGTTGCTCAGGTTAGTCTGCCATTTGTCGATCCAGTAATCTCCATAAAACAGGAGGACATGCTCGCAGCTCCATGGAAATTAATATCCAACTTTTCCTTGCTCCTCAGTACGGCGAGTACGCCCCAGCACTTCGACAACTTTCTCCCTAATGATGCCATTCAAATGCGTGGCACGATGTTCTTGGCTTCTGTTTAACCCATTACAGCCTTACTGGGTTCCTTTCGTCCTGATTCCGCTGTTTGCTCTTCTTTTGCCAGCTGATCCAATATACTAATGCCTCTGTATGAATTCCGTTTCCATGGTTGTTGGATCTCCTGCAAATGGAGCATCCCCCTTGGAATTTGCCTCCTGTTGTTGCTGCTGCAATAATATTTTGCAAGTGTTTCTAAACAAGCACAAAGTCATGTTTCAACAGCTGTAGTCTGGTTTCTGCTCGCTGCTGTTTTTATTGTTATGTGCCACTACTTCCCCCTAGCCAACCCTCCCAACCCACCCCCTTTCCAGCCCCATTGTTATGGCCTTCACTGTTACTGCTTTTTGCTAAACTTTCGCTGCACATTAAAGCAAGTTGGCCGACGTTTATAGACTGATTTAATAGAATTAAAAGGGGGAGGGGGTTGGCTCCCCTCACAAATGAGATATTTCCACACAAATGAACAGAGCCAGACTGCGGATGTGTGTGTGGGTGCGTGGAGTATCTGTGTGCAATTGGATATAATTGTTTGACTAAATGAGTGCGTTCGCCTCTCGTTTGTGCCCCCAAAATGTGCCATACTTGGCTTAGCGCTCACACATGGCCAAAAAGAGGGGGAAGGGGAGTGCTTCGGGTCCAAAGGATCTTTTTGGATGGGGAGCTGAACAGCACGGAACAACAATAATTATGGCAAGCACTCTCAAACTCCAACCGCATCCCCATCTCCATAACCACTTCGCATCCGACAGCATCTTCACTACGATTTGGATGGAAATGGGGGATATATGTATATAGATAGAACCAAACTAAGGGGAAAGGGGGAATTCATTTAATTCCCAGTCGTCTGCTTCGATGCGTGCATCCTTCCACTAGATAGAGCGAATCCGAATGGATATGACTCTTGGCATTGTGTGTGGCCCGATAGCCATGTAAGTGAGGGGAGGAACCATCTGCAATCGGAGGCTGTTCTCGTAATGAGAATGGAATTGAAGTCTAAACAAACAGAAATCGCTGGGCAAACAGCAGCAGGATCAGGCCAAAAGAAAAGCTTTAAGCCGAGCACATAAAAATCCCCTCGAGTCCCCATGGAAATTGAATATTTAATTATGCGTCGATGGAAATTGCGTTAGAACTTGGTGACGAAAATGGCCTAGATATCATGATGCCGGGGATGTCAGAGGATGGAGTAGGACGGAGTAGGACTAGAAAAATGCCAGAGTCGGGTCTCAGGAATGTTTACAAGGACAACAATTGAAAGAGGCTGCTAAATAATTTATTCCAATTTGGCAGAGATTTCCACAACACCAAGAAGTTAACTAGGCCCAAAAGAAATGCTAATGTGCTTCCCTCCAGGGGGAGTTGCTTTTAAAGAGGAGACATCAAGCCTCAAGTTGATGGAAAATAATCGAAATGTTGTGAAGGGAACCCTAATGGATTTGGTTCATTCTGTGGTTAGTTTGGATTAAGTTTACTAATTTTCGACCAGGGGCTATGAAATTCACTGGATTGGAAACAAAGCTAAGATAAACAGGGCCAGACTGTCTGCGTCTGCCTCACTGGAGCACCTTTCGCTTATCTAGGCGGACATTCCACCTCCTTCCTCCGAAGAGACTCACATCATTTGCCTCTCGAGGCACTGGGTTTGTGTGTCGCCTTCACCTTCGCCCACTTTGCACCTGCCACATGAAGTACGTGAGCGCCACACGAAAGTTTCCCCTTCCGAAATCAGACCCAGACATCCTTGAGGGGGTGAGCGGGAGGCCAAAGCCGCATATTTATGAATGGCTCTTGTTTCGAGTTTAACGCACTACGGGAGCTTTATCAGCTCGTAAATATAAATTAGAATTTAATTTTTATCGTCGAGGAAAGGTGGCTTGTGGATGGAGGGTCCTCCGCCTGGGGAGCAATCGAGTGGTGCTCGGCACAAATTAGAGGGTAGTCCTGGCAACGGCGAAATCAGAAAGGAGAGTCTGCTTCAAGGGTATTTCCATTTCCATTTGCGCCCGCCACGTGTCGTAATATATCAAAGGCTTTGATTCCGCAGTGGAACCCAGTCCGGGCCCCATTTCGAATCCAATCAAGCCCCTGGGAAAGGTGATAGTGGACTAGATAGTGGAATCACGGCACTCACCTGGGTCAGTTGCGAGGAGGCGTAGTAGGAAATCCTCGAGGGACAGATCGACTCTGGCTTTGAGTAAATCGTCTCTGCGGCCTGTTCGAGGTTCATGGGCAGCAGGGCGGTGGCATAGGGGGTGGGGATGGGTGAGCTCCTGAAGCCTGTGGATTGATTGGGGGATTCCCCGGATTGGAGGTCATCATCCCAAATGGGCAATGGGTGGGTAATGAACTTACGGTCGAATATGCTGCACGACTTCTTGCTGTCCGCCGGGTATTTGTTGAGGCTGGCTATGGTAGCATAGGACCCCGTGGAACTCGGTGGTCTTCCCAGGGGATCCAGTCGGATGAACACGTTCTGGTGGCTGCCATAAGCTGCGGTGGTGAAACTGGTGCTAAAAACGGGGTAGAGTGTTAATGGTTTTATGGGGGAGGGTGGATGTTTATAACTCACTGTAGCGAATCCTGTCGAAGCTGTTTGCGCGCCCTCACATACATCATGCTGGCCACCAGTCCCACGGCCAAAACCAAACCCAAAGCACAGGCGGCGGCACTCAGCAGGGCGGGTCCTTGCGAGGGGGCGTGGGCGGGGGCGGGCGATTGATTGGGCTCAGGTGAGATGCCTACGAAACGGAATTCCGATGAGTGATGGATAAGTGGGTGTGTATGTGACTGCGATGAAACCCACCTTTCGCGCAGATCTTGTTGCGCTTGAAGTGCAGCCGGGTGTCGTTGAAGCGGGGAGGAGCCCGCACCACCATGTTGACATTGACGGGCATCTGCAGGCTCGCATTTCCGGTGCAGGGCAGGTAGACCAGGAAGGACTCGATCTCTTGCGGCACCAGGCCCTTGTGCGGAATGCTCAGCGTGGGCGTGCCCAGTGCCTCCTGGTCGGTGTTGTACTCGATACTCATTTCGTACGGCAGCTGTATGGAAGGCAATGGTTAATCATCGGAGGTCCTTGGACGCTAACATCGGGTATCTCACCGGATAGGCGATGAGACTTTGCCAGGAGAACTCCAGTTCATGGACATCCGCGGGCACTGGAACGGTGAAGTGCATCGCGTATGTGTTGATGGCTCCCTCGTGCACATAGAACAGGTCCGCCTCGAGTCCTGCGGGAATGGAATGGAGAACCAACAGGATGCGAGGTGAGAGTGGTTGCACAGGATGCACTGCAGACGCAAAGCGAAAGTTTCCCCGCAATTTGCCGGGCCACACCCACTCCATTAGAGAAGCTCGTTCCTCCTGCTGAGCAAACTTTGTGCATTTGCTGTTTACACTCCCCTCGAGCGTTTCTCTCTGGCATTTCTGCCATAAAGCGGAAATTGATTTTCTCCAGGGGAGGGGAAGGAGGGAGGGGAGACACGAGGTGACAATGCTGGTGGGTAAACAAAACCCAAGACACAATAATAATCGAAATCGAATCCGTCACCAGCAGGCGACGATGCAGGGAGTGTCTCGAGTTCTCCTTCAGGACGAGGAGCAAGTGAAATGAGGAGCGACAGGCTTCCTGGGAGAAGGGATATCAAAAGGTGTCAACTGCGACTGCTTCATCATCGGAAGGAATCGTATTGGCGGGTTCAAAAGTCCTGGAGTGTCCTGATCTTTCCCACTCCCCATTCAAACCCCCCACCCGCTGGCATTGAAAGACGAGCTGCTTGAGTTAAAACGACGTGAAATTAAATTTCTTCATCCGCTTTTATTGTTGCTCTTCCTATTTCTATTCGCTCGCCCACTTCTCTGGGGGGTGTATTATTTACTCCACGGGATCAGGCCAAGTTCGCTATTCACCCAAAGTAAAAGGAGTGGGAACCGAGTGGAATCCTGGATGTTTACCCTCTTCGAGTTCGAGCTGCTGCTGCTTGTTCTTCCTCAGACTCCGCCGGATGTTGAATGTAGCAATTCCGCTTCCGGCGGACCGAGTGGGGGGATGATTGGAGGAAGGCAGGAGGAAAGCCCCTGCATTTAGGATAGAACAAAGCGCTCGCTAGCTGCTTAAAACAATTTTAAATCCAATTACAGAACAAGAAAAGCATTTTTCGTTAGGTTTCATCCAGCTCTCAGCTTCATCTACATCTTCAGACTGTTTCCCTCTACCAGCTCAGTTTTCTATGCGTTTTCCACTTCCCATTTCCATTCCTGGTTTGTTTTTCAGTCCCAAATTGCTTTGCTCCCCGTCGCGTTTTCAGCCTGGCTTCCAGACTCGGCCAAGTGCACCTTCACAGCGTCCCAAACAACCTGCTGCCATACGAAATTGCTATGAGCTAGTGGGAAAACACAAACATAACCCCAAAGTGCTTTCCATCAAATATGCACAAACACGGGAAAAGGACAATGTTCACCTGCCTTTCAGTCCTTTCCCTTTTTTGTCATCTATGCCAAGGGAAGTTTTAGTAAAGCCATTTGAATAAGTGACTGCCGCAATTAATTCACTTCTGATTTCAGAGATGTCGCAAGTGCTCAATTTAACCCTTGTAATTCCTGTCACCTCGATTGGCTTCACTGGGGAGCTCAATCCTGAACTGCACTTTAAGCAGCATCAATTGGCATGTTCACCGCCTGCACAAGTTCATCCTGCTGCTGGCTGGGATATCTCCTGAATCCCCCTTAAGTCCCCTTCCCTGCAAGTGTCAAACTTTGCTCGTCTTTCATATCACGGTGCCGCCAACTTTGCCTGCGAAAGTTTCACCGCGCTTATGGAGACCCTCCTTTCTTCTAGATTTCCCTTTCTCAAGACTCCTTCTTCTATGGTAATACCTCCTCAACTTGCCTTCCCTCCCTGGTCGTAATTATAATTCCTGCAATTGCGATTGTCTGAATGACTCCGCCGCACACACGTGACGCTGCGACCGCAACTCATAATCTTATGGAGGGGGTACATGTGTTTCCAGGGGTGGAGGAGAAAGGGGGTGCGTGTTTTCAGCTCTCGCATTGCCAACAAAGAGGAGGCGCTATTTGCATAAGAGATTAAGAGGATAATTAGTGTCATTAGTTTGGACGGTGCACTCCACCCCTGAAATCCTCCTCTTCCGATCTCTGGGGAGTGCAGTTTCACCTCGTCGCTGATTAAGGACGATACTGCTAATTGACCTATGAATCTGAGATGAGAAGTGCTCGTTCAATTGGCACAGTTTCTGATTTCCCCTTTCCTATTTCTTCACCAATTTAAGAGCAATAAAGATGGATTCCAGATGCCAAACCACCCTGGAAAAGAAACATCTCCAGGGGAGAGTATATTAATGTGGGGATTTTTCAACTGTTTTCTATTCATTAAAAATAATTTTCTTTTGCATTAACTTTTCATTTGCAGGGAAATTGTGAGCTCACCCGCCGAAGGTTGTGGTCCACCCTGAGGGTGGGGCAGATGGAAGCTGGTCCGAAGGGCGCAGAAATGGGATCGGGTGGCAAAGAAAAAGTGTGCACATCAAAGCGAAACTTGTTGAAATTGCATTTTTACGCACCCTTGAACAGGAAAGTCTTCAGCGGAAGGAGGGGGAGGGGCGGAAGGGGGAGTGGCAACGGGGAAAAGGTTCGTTGCTGGGACAACACATCCAAATTGAACTCAGAGGCGGAAAATCTCCAACAAAAGCGCAGAAAATATTTAATTTTATTGCCGTCGACACTTCATTGAGAAAATTTTCTGGTGTTTATGGAAAGGCAAAGTTCAGGGATTCGTCGGTGACAATTGAGACGAATTGAGAAGAAGGCTATGAACTTTGTTTACTCTTCTACAAAAAGAAGTCGAAAAGTGCATAACAATTTGTCGGTAGATAAATCGTATTAAAATATAGGGAAATGCAGCAAAGAATCATATGGAAGTGGAACTAGTTCGTGCATCCGTGAAGAGATTTCCACATGAAGAAACTCCCATGGAAACCGAAAGGCAGTGGAGGATGAAAGGGAAATGAGGTGGAAGTCTAGGAAAAATCATGCACAGGAATTTTTCATCGGGGGTGTGAGAAATAAGGGGAGGATGAGGGTCAGTTTGTTTGATTTCATGCTGCTTGTTAATTTTCAAATCGGAACAACTCAGAGGGTGGCAGTCATCACAAAAAACGGGGCGAAATCCACCAGGGGTGTTAACTGGTCGTTAGAAACATAACGAGCTTTTAGAAGTGGATGGAGGAAACCTGAGAGGAAGCTCAAAGGAAAATCTGCCAGTGGAGCCAGGGAAATGGCGAGGAGCAACAAACAAAGTGGAAACATCTTTTAAAATGTCGCTAATGAAATCCGATTTGCATGGGGGTAAATAGTTGAAAGCGCAGGAAAAGTGACGATGATGGTTGCTTATAAAGTGCAATTGCCAGCAAAGAGCCCACTTGCCCCATTGATCCAGAACCAGAATGCATTTGAATGCCTTAAAGGCGAGGGAGATAGATGGGAATAATTGGATGCATTTCATCCATCAATCTGTCATCCATCTGATACGACTGCGGATTATATTTACGCCATCAGCTAATTGAAGTGCCCTGATTTGGCAACTAGGAAACGAAACGAAGCATAATGAGATGGAAGCATTTATGCTCCAATTACAGCTAAGTGCCGGAAAATGCTGTGACCAGCTAAGCGACGAGTGATGGAGTAGCGACCGCCAACTAGGCCAGTTTTCCATTTCCCCGACATCGGAGTTCCCTTCCCTCCTGAACTCCCATTTCTGAGATCCATTAATCAACCTGAGGAGCAGGAAAATCGCGAGCCAAACGACAAGCACGAGGCCATTCCGCCTTGGCACGTCTATGAAATCCGTGTAGCTCCCACTAGGAGGAGGTTGGGTTGGGCTGGGGAACTTGGCCTTGGCTCGATCTGGAGCCGGCGCCATCAATAACAAGAATTCGCGTGGAGCAACAAACGGAAAAACAAGAAAACAAACAAGGAGAACATGTAGAGCGGAGGGGGTGTAAAGGAAATGTTCGAGGGAAGTGGAAAATGGGGAGGTGAAAGCTACTTGCAGCTGTCAGCGAGGTGAAGGTGGATGGTTTAGGCCGAAAGGAAATCGATTTGTGTGCGATTTGTTTTGGTTTCGCCCCACTAAGTATCCCCACATTATTCCACCTCCCCTTTGTTACCAACCTATCCTTAATGGTCAACTATAATTTCGGAACTATTAATGACTGTGACATGGTCGCCGACTTCGGGGATTGTTTGTGTTTTCGTGTTTGGGGATCAATGAATTTGTCCTGTCGCACTTTGGCCTCCAACTATTAATCATAGACCCTGGTGGAGTGGGTGTGTCAGTCCCCAATCGAAGTTTCATTAATGGATTAAGAACCGGAAACGGAACTGGACTTACCCATCAGTTTCATCACCTCGTGGTGGCTGATGAAAATGTTCAGATAGCCGCTGACCGAATTGGAAAACGCCAGGCACAAAAGTAGGATTGGGAGGGGATGTTGGAGGAGTCCCATGGTGGAGTTTGTTTTGTTTAGAGGGTGCGAGGAGTCAATAGAATGTCAGAGCATGTGTCGCCGCAAGTGGCGAACATTTCCCCAGCTTCTTCTCGTCCTGCTCCCTTTTCCGGTGCCTCCCCTTTGACAGCCAATCTCACTGTGCTTCCATTGATGCGTAGCTTTGGGGGTGGAGTTTTCCGTGGTGAAGTTTTCCTGGTGCTGACTCTAATTCGGCTGCCAGTTGCTGCTGTTTTGGGTGACGGTTGTCAGTTGCTGGTGCCACAAACACAGGAATCAGAAAGGGATCCCAAGCTCTCGAATGAGCGTTAAAATCAAATTCCAACTGCTGCTAACTGTTCCGGTGGAAAGTGGAAAGTGGGAACGGTCTGTCTGCCGAATTTGGGAACTTTTCAGCCTCGGCTTCCGCTGGCTGCTCCTCTTTTTCCCACTTCTGCAGTCTCTTTCAGACCAACTTTTCCGGTTTTGTTTTGCTGCGGTTGCTGTTGGCCTCCTCCGCTGCCTTTTTGCATCAGTGTGTCCAAATTTGGCCCAGACTGAGTTTGGTTGGCTTTTATTGGCTGAGCTCCTGTCAACTGGTCCTGCTTTCCTCTTTTCCCGAGTTGTTTTGTGGCTATCGCCTGTCACTCTGTTCACTTCTCTGCTGCTGGTCACTCCATACTCCTTTCTCCTCCTCGGTTCTATCTATCACCTTTCTCCACCAGAACTTCCTTCTATTCTTCCTCGTTAAAGTTGGGTTCCTGTTGAATAGAAAGTGATTTAGTTTAGAGCAAATCAGACTGCAGAAAAAAGATAGAAGTTGACAAAAGGAAGATGCGTTTATGGGGAGGGGATTTCCTCAATCGTAAGACTTTTGTTTAGGGAATGAGAATCTGTATATGTGGTGATGTGTGGTTCAGTGGTGCAAACAATTTGTAAAAGCAAAATAAAAAGTTTATTCCTTGCAAAAGTAATTAGAAAGTTGCAAAAAGATTAACAGCTTAGGGGTTCCAAACAAGATCCATCCCAACATTTCCTAAAGTGACTTACTCACATATGAGTTGGTGGTTGAAAATCGCTGGTGCTTTAATAAATTTGAGGTAATATTTATGTGTTTGTTTGGCATAAATTATGAAGTGGAAAAGGGAACAACTTTTGGCTTTCGAAATGTTTGTGGTTTAAGTGGTTCAGGTGGTTTACCCCCCTTGCTCATTGTTGTTTGGTCTACGTGTTTATTCAGCTGCTCCTTCCTCCTTTCCCTTTATCCTTGCTGGTTGCGTGTGCAGGTAACCCGAATGGAATGCCAACTGCACTGGGGGGAGGTGGGTGGGTCCAAGTGCAAGGGGAGGTGGGTGACTAAGGGGGAGATCGTGGGCATGGCAATGGAACCGGGACAGTCGAGTGCTCCCAAAATGAAATTGTTGCCAAGAAGCAACCAAAACTGCTTCTATCCCCATGGTAAACTCATTCTGCACTTGGCTCTTGCTTTTTTCCGCTTTTCCCATTTTCTGGCCGCAATAAAAATCGAAATCAGAAAAGTTTGTTGCCTCCATTTTCCGATTTCTCTTTTTCGGCGTTAAAACATTTTTGGAATTTTAAAGTTTCGCCAACATAAGATAGTTTTCCAGAAGCAGCTCCCGAGTTAAGCCAAAGAATGTTGCGGTCTTTTTAATTAAACTTATCTGCGCCCAAAAGAACGCCGCGGGATGGTGAGTCACTTGATTAAGGACCAGATCATCAGCACAGCCCCATCATCATCACCTTTATCATCATGAAAAGCAGCCAAAGGAGCAGAAGCAGTCGCATCTGCAAAAGGGAACACGGGAATCCTTGGGCATTCGAAGTCATTCAGCGAGTGCATTAATAATTCAAAAGACAAATAAACGAAGGGAATGTGTGTCTTTGGTTGTGTGTTTTTCCGAGTGGAAGTCTCTGTAACTGATTTAAATGGAGCAGCAGACAAGCACTGGGCTGACTGCACTTCCTGGAGCGGAGTTACAACCATCCCCCACTGAAGTCATCATCTTAGTCGATAGCATATTAACTACATCAGCTCAATCATAATCAAGGAGGGGAGGAAACTTGGAGGAAGTAAGTTTCCTCGGAGCTTTTTCCGCTTAGTCACACGCATCATCTGTCAGTCTGCCACGCCTTCAGAACCTTCGAGCTCCTGCTCCTCCGGCAAGTGACAAATTGAGCATTGCCGTTGTTTCTGGATCCCACAGGATGGGCCATGAAAGGAAGAACTTTTCAATTACTCGGGGGAAAATCCGACGGAGAAGTCGGAGCAGTAATGAATAATAATCTTTGCCGCTGCCAGCATCATTCTGCCCCAGCTAATATTTATCGATGTGTATTATTTTCCGCCCCCCGAGTTCGGCATAGATTGAAAAGGCTTTCGCGTTGGTGGGACGGGGGAACTGGGAACTGGGGCCTCGGGCTCCTCCCGGCTCGTTTCAATTATAAAATGGCTTTCGCTTCTAATTGAATCGTGAGCTGGAGTCGGGGGCTGAGTTAATATTTTATTTCCACCGATTGCTCCTTCTCTTCTCCGTCTTCCTGAGCTCTGTTTGCTTAGCGTTTCCAGTTCCTCGGTTCCTCCCCGACCGTAAATGCCCTGTCGTGGTTTTAGCCCCCTCCCCCATTTCCCATTTCCCAGCTCACAATCCCAATCCCATTTGTTGTTGCTTGGGCTGGGAAAACAGCCGCGGGCTCTTCCGAGTAGCAACCAAACTGGCATTTCCCATTCTTCTAGCTAACTGATGATAAACAACCGAATGCGGCAGGATATCCATCTCCTTGGCTATTAAAACTCCGATGGAATCTATTTTGGCTAACAAAAACAAAAACAAATTTCGCATTCGAGTAATACGAGTGGCCGAAATTCAGAGAACCGAAACGCAAAGTTAGTTTCGCCCCCGGCATTGACTGGGCACAAAATGAGAATAGTTTCTGTGCCCCTAAAACAAAATATCGAATTTCGTTCGTTGTCATCCCTGTGGCCATTCTCATTAACTTTCAACGACTAACAACACTAAAACCAAAGTTAAATGCGTAAAACTTTTTTGTTATTTTAGGAAAATATTATTTTGATACACATCTTTAAAGAGTTCGGAAAAGTATAAATGCCAATTTTTTGTGTTTATTAATCGAAATGTAGAAGAAATTTTTCAAATCGAACCATTCAATCAAAAGTTCTGAGCAAATAATGGAATTCAACCAGTGCAAGCAGTCACTTTGCATAGCTGTAATTGTAATAATTACTAATTTATATTTTTAATACATAAATTAAATAATTTTGTACTATTAACTTTTAAATAAATAAAAATACCTTTTAGAAAACCTTTTTTTTTGTTTAGCAAACATTATTGTTTGAGTGCATAGGCGTCGATCCCTTTAATTTGGCGGGGTGAATAAACACCCGACAACACCGAGCCCGAAGCTCATTAAATTGGCGTAAATATTTGAAAATGGACTCCGGGTGGAGAATGGACTACGCAACACAATGCGAAATTTTCGCGCTGACCGGACAAATTGTTGCCCATAAATTTTGATAACTGATTAAAAGTAACGAGCGACAGTTTGCCATGTTTACCTGGCATTACCTGGGCATTGTTGTATATTTAATGTCGAATTGTTGGCGAATGTTGTACCAACAATTGGGCATTGGCATTGCACTGCCCCCCCAGTTCCCGAATGTCCTGCCCGAAAAGTCCCGGGCCTAATGTCCAAAATGTTCGCCGGACTGGCTAATTTGTGCAGGCAATTAATTTACATTACGGCAGGGGACGGCGGGCGGCGGGGAAAAGGTCGGCTCGATTTGTTCCATTTTGTTTCATTTTGTCGCTACGCTCCACTGGAGCTAACGATTTCCAGCCGAACATGTGTAGTAAATATATTTATCCAAAATACCAGGACCCCTAATGAAAGACATTCATGTTTGCGGCGGAATTGGGTCGATTTCGCATTAGTGCCTGGCCTCGCCGAGCAATTAAATTCACAATTTGTGCGATTTCGGATGATGACAGTTGCCACTTAATGTGGGGCTTTCCTAATTACAAACAGTTTCGAAATTACTTTCGTAATTATTGTCCCCATAAACAAGGAAAATAATTGATCTTTAAATTCCAAAAGGGCCATTTGAGTCGAATTAAACCATACAGACGGTTTTTATTTATGTCAAATTTCAAACAATGTGATGTGGTTAATTATTTCTCTTAATTAAGTAAAGTGTTACACTTTAATAACAGGGAAATTCGAACTGAATGCAATTTTTTAATAAGTCGGTACACAAGAATTTACAAAAGCAAAGTGAAAACCACATTCAATTGTCATATTTTCGTAATTATTAATCTTGCACAGGTACTATAGTTTCAATCAGAGTTTTTAACACAGTGAGGGGACGTTTCCGAACCCACAAAGCATAGAAATACATATGTAACGGGAGTTATTGCCGATATACGGCCGCAAATGTTGGGAAAAGTCATCGAAAATTGGACGTCCAGATTGGACTACATCCAAGCCAGCCGTGGCGGTCATATGCCAGAAATCATATAAAAAATGTAATGCCACAAAATTATCATTCGAATAAAAAAAAATTCATGTCAATCGAATAATCCATCGTTGTTTTATTGCAACTTAAAGTTCTATACCTCTAAAAAAACACCCGTTATATGTCCGCCATCATAAAATTTCCCAAAAGACTTCTTTCCTTCGCTTTTAATTTAATTATGATCGGACGTTTTATTATTTATTTGTTTAGCTTTAAAAATAAATATTTATACTTCGCATTATTTATTTTACCAATTAAGAAATACGTTTATAACATCATACAATCGGTAATTTTTATCATTTGGCTTTGACAATAGTTTGCCGAAGCTAGCTTCCTTTCTTGCTAATAATAAAACTAAAATGTGTTAATATCATAAAACTTTAAATGTTTTACCTTCACAAAGCTTGAGTATCAAATCACAATTGTATAACAAAATCCAAGAAACTAAGTTTACAAGTGCAAAGTTCAT